TACCGAACTATATTATTGATGATAATTGATGGAAGCGGCAAAGAAAGTCAAAAAAAAATACTCCGTATGCAAAGCTGGCAGATAGACTTTGATGGATTAGAAGGCGAAGACTTTTATAGAGATTGGTGTTATGTGAGAATTATAAAGAAGAGCAAGTGGATACTTTCTTTTAAGACCAATGACCCATCTCTTATTTTGTTTCTAAGGTGTGGTTATAAAGAAAATAAAATCGCATAAAACATAAGCTTTTAGATTTTCAGTGTCTCCAAAGTACGTGTCGTAATCAGACTAAATAATAGGTACCAACCAATTAAGCTTAGACGCAAATTTAAACATCAGAGTTTCAAATCGATAATATTCTTGAATAATCAATTTTGGTCGATCTAAGTCGTACGAGCGATCTTGATTAACTTGATTTATAAACTGCACTTTTATGTACAGATTATGAATTCTAAACTCTTCAACGTCGTTGAAAAGATTGTTGTTAGTATTATTATATCGAACCTTCTGCGAGTTATTGACTCTTCGTGCTGCATTAGTTGGTCAACTCTTGGGTTTTTTTTACATCGTTATAATTTATATAGCTTAATTATTTATCATGGGCATATAAATACAAAAACTCGCGACTTTGCTTTTGCGTCTAGGTTTGACTATTCGAGAATTATATGGTCCTTTAGCTCGAGGCAAAAAAAAAAAGAAAAATGGCTATTTATTTACTTTTGCTCTACGACTACTTCCATTAGATAAATTAATAGTTTAAAATCTTTACACTTCCTAACTAAACTATTATTAATATAAATACTCCAAACTCAGATGTATTTTGGAACAAGTACGATAAATGGTGCTTCGGAGACACATAGGCAACTGAGTACGTAAAACAAGTTAAGTAAACGTAATTGTAGTAGTCGTAGGAAAAAACTTATATTACTAAGCTTAATTGTCATTTTAACAGCGATTTGAAATGTTTGACTCCGTCAAAGTCACCGGCGAATTGTGTAGCATCATATGGTGTTAATATTGTCGGTCGATTAGTATATATACGTATATATGGATATGCATCTAAGTATCTTAATTAGGAAGATATAAACATTTAATATCTATAGATCAAACGTATGTGTTATGCGTCAACGAGTGATGCTGTCCATACAATGTTTGACTTTTCTTGATATTCATGCAAAAATTGAATTTTATTTTTAACGAATATTTCAATCTAAAATGATACTATAACTTTCGAAATTTAAGTTGAGTGTTTTAAGATACTTATAGTGGTCAATCACGATTCAAATATTTCGATTTTAGTTCTCCAACTTTAAAATAAAATTTGCAACCTCTAAATTATGTTTCAACTTGATTTGACAGTAAAATAAAATAAAGTTAACGTAAGTTTACTTTACCTCCAAGTAGTCTAATTTAAATGTAAAGAATTACGAACGAAAAGAGGTTGCATTACATCGCTGAGCTTAATTATCTGTGCAACAGTCAACAGACAACCTA